TGTTTTCTTCTTCCTATTTACTGTTTCTAATTTTTTTAAAAGTAGAAAAAGATATGCGTTTGATAACCATTTATGTTTTCTCGTTGTTTTTGAAAAGAAAGGAATGAAAAAAAAAGTTTGATAACTCTTTCCTTTTTTTTATTTTTTTTATCTTTAGAAAAAGGAATTAAAAAAATAAAAAAATATGAAAAAAAATATTTGGCAACACAAAAACTCGAGACCTCTCAACTAAGCATGTGCCTGCACCAGTTGAGGGTACACATGACTATTATTGCCCAATATATGGTATCTAATCTAAAACATAGAAATGAAAATAGCAATAACGAAACTACTTTTTGTAGCTTTCAAAATTTAGTCATTTTTTTAAACATTTTTGAAAGTTTAGAAACGAGAAATGAGATAGGTTACCAAACATGTCTATTTCATAAAAAAATGAGAAATGAAAAACGAGAACCAAAAATAGGAATGTTGTCAAATGAACCGTAAGCATAAATACATAATAAATATTAAAAAATATATAACAATAAAAACAATGATTTAATTTAAAATTTTATTTTGAAAATTGAGGGACCAAAATTTAACACTATAGAAGTCAATAAAAATGGAATTTAAACCAAAACTTCGTTTAAAACCTATAAAGTTGGTATTTTCACTTAAATGTTAATATATATTTTTTTTATTTACATTTTCCACAATAAAGTTGTTAAACTTATAAATTAATTGTAAAAAGTAAAATTGTATTTTTTTTAAAGAGAGAGTTAAATTGTTAAACTTTATTTCCATGTCAACCCAATTTTTTTTTTAATGATTTAAATAAAAGAAATATATAATATATATTTAAATCAACAAAAATTGAGACAGACATACCATTGTTGGAAAACATTTACAAATGCGTAATCGATCATAAATATTTACAACTCTATATCGTACCTTTGTTTTATTCATTTTTTAAAATATTTTCTCTCTTATTTGCCCTTTATTTGTTTTGTAAATGGTGGAAGAATTTAATTTTTGAATTATTTTAGATTCTGAAAAAATCACCAACTTTTCCATTTTTGTTATTAATATCTATTTGATTGATTCATTGCTATTTTTTGATTCTCATATTCCTTATTTCTTTTCCATTATTTTTTCATTCTATTTATCCAACTTTTGCTTTTGCATTTTAGGGGTGGGGCAAGAATTTGTCTCTCTCATTTTGTCTTTTATTTTATGTTTTTTTTTCCTTCCTGGTTGTTTTTCAATTTGTCCGTTACTTTTTTTTTATCTCGCTTAAATATATTTTTCTTTCACCTTCTTTTCTTTTTTTTTTTTTCATAAAAAATTGTTTTGCTGAATTTTCCTCTCATTTCTATAAGTTTTGTGTCAATTTTTCACACATTGTGTGTGTTTTTTTGTAACGGTAAGTTTAAGTTTAACATTTGAACTTTTAGAGTTATGTTTTGTAGATTAAAATTAAAAAAAAATGTTTTTAATACTAAGTTTAATAAACTCAAACTTTAAAAAGCGTTTATTAGATCACAAACCTTTCAATTTTGTGTTTAATAGTTCTATAATGCATTAGACACAGAATTAAAATGTCAAGAACCTATCAAACACAAAAATCAAATTTGTACCTAATAAATCTATAAATTTTAAAATAATTGCCTTAAAAAAAATGTTAATAACCTATATTTATCATGTACAAAATTAAAAGTTTAGAGATTTATTAGACATTAAAGATTTAAGGACATATTAGACACTTTTTAAAGTTTGGGAACCTATTACTCAACATCGATAATTCATCGATCAAACTCGAACTTTAACCGATATATGTTTCAAGGGCCACATGCAATTTTGGAAATAATAATAACATGGGAGTCCCCTTTTATACCGACCACCATTAAATATCTTTCTCTTCGTGTATTTCTATTGAACACCTTTGTAAATATTTACTCACTATGGTATATGTGCTTAAAAACCCCTAATCATTACAATGTATGAATTGGGTTGAATTGGAAATCCCATTGAACATTGATTTCAAATTCATTTGCGGTCACCAATCAGACGAGGATGAATAGTTTTACTATCCTTCGATTAGATTTTCAAAAGAAAGATACAACTACCAGTCAATATCCATTTTTCTGCTCACCACAAAAAATTTGATCACAATTCTTTAATTTTTCAAAAAACATACATATATCTTTTCTTCTTTCTTCTTTTTTTTTCCCTGAAAAATGTAGTAATAGATATTATATATATATATATATATATATATATATATATACACACGCGGTTGATAATCACTTAAATATTGTTCCTTTTAAAATAAGAAATTGAAAAGGAAAATTTTTGAAATTTTACATGGTAATATAATCACAATTAGATATGGACAAATAAAAAGGGAAAACTTTCCACGTACCTGTCTGTCTCCATCAGAAATGAGGGGACCCTATTTGTAGTCTCAAAAGGAGGCTTTCTCGGACATATTTTTATTATTATTAAGTTTCAACTTTCAACTTTGTTTGAATTATCAATTTAATTTTGAAAAATATTTCTCCGGTTTCTTTTTCATTGATTACCATTAAATTTTTGACAAACCAGAGAGAAGAACATAAAACGAAAGGGAAGATAGATCTATTATTTTTAACAAAACGTAAATAACTGACAAATTTTTAGTGGTGGCAAGTAGTTTTAGAAGAGAAAATTTTCTTTTTAATTTTATTTATTAAAATGGTTACTTTTTAAAACTACAGAGACTAAAATAAACATTAAGTATAATGATTTAAATGAATTAAAGTTAATAATATAGGATAAAAAATAAATATTTTAAAAATATAGAGACCAAAATAAATAAAAAGATTAAAATAATATTTTAACCAGCTCCCTTCAAAGAAGCTAATGAAAAATAGTGACTCCTATATTTTCAGAAATTTTTTTGTACTATGAAAATAATTGGTTAAAAGTGTTGTCTTTTATTATTATTTTTTTGGAAAAGAAAAACAAATATTAAAGTAATCTTTGAAGGTTGAATATTCAAAATTGGCTACGATTTTAGTTCCTAAGTTTGAGTATTTTTTTCCATTGGGTCTCTAATCTTTTGTTAAATTCAATTTTATCCGTGTGTACTGTATTTTTTTTTTTTGGCAAAATACATTTTTGGTCGATTCGAGGTAGATATCTACTTGATCTCTAAAGTTTCAAAATAAACATTTTTGGTCCTTGATATTTAAACTAGGTGTCAACTTAGTCCCTGAAGTTTTTTCTAGACGGCCATTGATTTTTTTTTACTTTTAATTAACTAATATTAAAATAACGTGACAAATTACAGTTAAATTGTTTATTGTAGTGGTTGATATGACAAATTATATTAATTAAATAATATAAGTACAACTACAATATAATATAATTTACCACATCAACAACTACAATAAACAATTTAATTGCAATTTACCACGTCATTTTAATATTAGTTAATTAATAGTAAAAAAATGGACCATTTAGAATTATTTCTCAAATTTCAGGAATAAAAAATGTTTATTTTAAAATTTCAAGGACCAAGTTGATACCTACTTTAAACCTCAAGGATCAGAAGTGTTCATTTTGAAACTTCAGGAACCAATTAGATACTTATTTCAAACCTCGGGGACAAAAATGTTCATTTTGAAACTTTAGAGACCAAGTAGACACCTACGTCAAACTTCAAGACAAAAAATGTATTTTGCCATCTTTTTTAATTAAGTTATCATTGTCACGGAACGTCAAAATCATGAGATAAAAAAATGATGCAATAGCAAAATATACTTAATAGTTGAGTTAAATACTTTATATTTAACATGATGAAATAGACATATCAAATCTTGTTCATTTCATATGGTCTGGTGTGGTATGTTATTCGGATCAAACTTGTTTGTACTTATACAAAATTGACTTATTAAAATTTTAAATGTTGATATACTAACAAGACAACCTATTGTTATTATTTTAAAATTTAATAGTTGAAATTAATTGAAAAAATATCAATATATACATGATTGGAATTAAACTTTTAAAAAATCAGAGACCGAATTGAAAAATACCTCAAGACTAAAATATATATATTTAGACTAATTAATTAGACTCTAAGACAACTTCATTTAATAATAAAAAAAAAAATATTTGTACAATATCATCTAGTTAATTTGTAATTCGATGTAGGTTAAATGATAAGTCTTGTCCAAAACTTTTTGAAGTTGTATCTATTTCGAGCATGAGTTTGAAATTTTGTATTTAATAAATCTATATTGTTAACTTATTGGTTTAATATTTACGCGACAACTCCCCCACGTGACCTAATAATGCATGTTTAGAGTATTAGATAAGTATTAAATAATTTAATGATAGAGATCTATTATATACAAAATTGAAATAAGTAAGCGGTGTATTAATTTCATTAAATTAAAAATACTTCAATTCTATTAATAGAGTGTATTTTAGTCAGAGTGAGCATAGTTCAGCGGTAATTGACATATACTTCAAACTAAAAGATTAATTAACTGCGGAAGAATTCAAATCTCCAATTTTTAGAAGGTAAAAATGATTTAACTAGTTGAACAATCTAAGTTTCGTCATAACTACGTCAAATAATTTTAAGGTTCGGTGGAAATAAAGATTTGACTAAACAATTAACCTCCAATATACAGAGATGAAATTTAAACTTTTAAAAGATTTATAGACCAAATTGGCAAAGAAAAAAAAACAAAAAAAACCAAAAAAAAGGCCAAAAACAAAATATTAAAATTAAATTATATATTTAGCATTTTTTCTTTTTGGCATACCTTATTTATTTATTTATTCGAATTTCTTGAATGTGAATTGTATTTCATTTTTCAAACAAAAAGCTATTTATTTATATTTATAAATATTAAAACATAGAATTTAATTACTAGAATCTAAAAATTAAAATAGGGCGATGAAGAGAAGCCATTGATGATTGATAGGGTCGCCGTACAGATTCATGGCACAGCCATAGCCACAGCGACCGCCATTCTTCCCACCACAGAAATTTCCCTTTTCCTCTTCTCTTATCTTCTATAAATTCCATCCCATCGCATTTCATTCAATCAACCCTTCAACCAATTTCACCCACTTGGCCACGCTTCTTCCTCTGCCCCCTTCTCTCTCGCTTCCCCTTCTGGGTTGTTCCTTCGAAATCTGAATCGAAACAATTCGAATTCCCCGGTTCGGTTTTGAGGAATTGGGGGTCTGGATTGAGTTTCCGGAGGAGGGAGATCGCAGATAACACAGGAATCTCGAGGAAATTTCCGGTGGGGTAATACCCGGGTTCGTCAAGTTGTAGACATCACGGCTAAACACGTAGTTTCCCGGCCGATCATTCATGTCCGGGCTGTACGACGAAAGGTTTGTGTGACTCCGACCAACCCTTCGCCGCACGGCGGGCGTGGTGCTCTGCCTTCAGAAGGAGGTAGTCCTTCCGATCTCCTCTTTCTTGCGGGCGGTGGATTTTGCTTCTCCTCTTCGTATTAGCTTTTACGGTCGTCGCTGTTGTTAGTTCTTTTTAGTTCTACCGATTAGAAATTTGACCTCTGAAAAAAGTTTCCTGCTCGTTTCTTTGTTATTGGGGGCTTTTGGCCTTTGGCTTTTGGTGTTCAATTTTAATTGAATAAGAGAGAGTCAATATGTTGAGGATTAAGCGGGTTCCTACGGTGGTATCTAATTACCAAAAGGACGAGGCCGAGGATGTCGCTCGCAGAGGAGGGTGCGGACGCAACTGTCTCAACAAGTGTTGCATTGAAGGTATTTGTTAAAATTCTTAGCTAGAAAACTTGGGTATTTATTTATTTTTTTTCCAACTCTCTCTTGTTGAGTTCTTGATTCTCTTAGGTGGCTGTTTGGAAGTAAATTTTGGGCTTGAAATGCTTTCAAGACTCTCTGATTTTGATATCTGTCCTTGTGATGATAGTTGTTTTTGTCTGCTTCTGAGATCTTATAGAGCAATGTGTTTGATAATGTGCCTGGCTTATTTTGAGTTAGTTTTTCTGTCTTTTGATGATGCCTATTGTGAAAATTTGGATCATGTCTATTTGGTTTTAGGAGCCAAGATTCCATTGTATGCTGTCAAGAAGCTTGACAAGATAACCGGTTCAAAAGGCTTGTGCTGCGAATATGGGAACAGGGTGCCTCCTGTTGCTTTTCTTGACTCACTCCTTCTTGGGGAGGTCAGTTTGTTGACAAACTTTGGTTATAAATCATCCTTTTATCTTTCAATATCTGTAAAGGATATGCTGTTGTTGTAGTGGGAGGACCGGATGCAGCAGGGGCTTTTTCGCTACGATGTCACTGCTTGTGAAACTAAGGTCTGAGTTTTACATTAAATTGTGGAACAGAGGTTGCTAAGGAATGTAATTTGTTATTTGAGATGTGGATACAGACTCAATATCTTTGGTTAACTTTCGTGTAGGTGATTCCTGGGAAGTATGGTTTCATTGCCCAGCTGAATGAGGGGCGCCATTTGAAGAAGAGGCCTACTGAGTTTCGAGTTGATAAGGTTCTTCAGCCCTTTGATGGTAACAAATTCAACTTCACCAAGGTTGGGCAAGAAGAGGTCCTCTTTCGGTTTGAAACAGATGAAGATGGGGATACACAGTTTATTCCAAATGCCCCCGTTGATGTCGAAACTTCTCCAAGTGTGGTTGCCATTAATGTGGGTGCTTGTATCTTTGTTTTCCGTGTCTTTAGATCAAGTTCTTGTGGATGCTTGTGTTGAGATCGTTTCCATTATGCATGAACAGGTCAGTCCTATTGAATATGGCCACGTGCTCCTGATCCCACGTGTTCTCGAGTGCTTGCCGCAAAGGATCGATAAAGAAAGCTTCTTGCTAGCACTACACATGGCAGTGGAGGCCGGGAATTCATACTTCCGACTCGGGTACAACAGCTTGGGTGCATTTGCCACCATCAACCACCTTCACTTTCAGGTATCTACACCTATCTTCTATATGTATTTCGGATCCAAGTGCACTTTGAAAATAGTCTGATTGAAGAACAGGTGAACTAACAACTAAATAATGGATCAGGCATATTACTTGGCGGTCCCTTTTCCTATCGAGAAGGCTCCGACAAAGAAAATAATCACTTTGAATGAAGGAGTAGTTATTTCTGAACTACTAAAATATCCTGTCAGAGGACTCGTCTTTGAGGGTGGAAATACTCTGCAAGATCTATCCGACTCGGTCTCTGATGCCTGCATATGCCTTCAAGAAAACAACATTCCTTACAATATCTTAATTGCTGATTGTGGGCAACGTGTCTTTCTTCTCCCACAGGTAAGCTGTTTTGAAATGCTGATTACTCATAATTTTCTGTTAATCGTGTTATAGCTCCGACCTCACCAATCACAATGAACAGTGTTATGCTGAGAAACAAGCACTTGGGGAAGTGAGTGCAGAGCTCCTCGACACCCAAGTGAACCCAGCAGTTTGGGAAATAAGCGGTCACATGGTGTTGAAGAGGAAGAAGGATTATGAAGAAGCGTCGGAGGAAAATGCATGGAGGCTCCTCGCCGAGGTTTCCCTATCGGAGGAGAGGTTTCAAGAAGTGTGTGCTCTCATCTTTGAAGTCATTGATACAGCCGGTGCCGAAGAAAATGCTGAAGATAGCTCCAGCATGCCTGAGGAGCACGGTGATGCTAGTCTTGAGGAAGTGGAAGGCAATGCCTCCCGCCCGCCCCAGGTGACCGGGACGCAGGAATGCTTAGTTCTGCAGTGACTACTACTACTGCTGTAAGGGTTTGATGCTTTTAGTAAAAACTAAGTGTATGGTCTATGTTGGAAGCTTTGTGTGTGTGGTTGAAGTGTTGTTATGAATGTTTATTTGCAAGTTTGGCTCTACTATTTTGTTAGGAAGAGGGACCTTGACCTTGTGTTTCATATGTATTTTTGTTACATCATGTGAAATAATAGTGTCTGCAGTTTGTCCTTGTGCTTGCACTTTTTATTCTATCCTATAATAGTTTCTTTTTAGTTCATTCAAGGGGAAGATCATGGATATGATGGAACAGAAAGTTGCTAATATTTTGAAATTTAGATAAATGGTGGAATCAACGTTTCTCTAAACAAAGCTAGATGATTGTTAGAAAAGTAATGGATAGATCACCTGGTTTCAACCGGTACAAAGTGGTCTATCTGAGCATAGTTTAATGGGATAAGATAGATTGGAGATCTTTAAAATGGTATATTTGAACTTTTGTCCAAGATGTACAAGATATAAGATGATATTGTTGTGAGTAAAAGATACTTTAATCGTATAGTTTAACAGTTTCCAATGTAGAGATATTTGGGGTACTGTTGTCTTCAAGAAGTGGTATCAAAGCTATGGTTAAAAAAACTGATTCTTAAAGTCTTATAGAATTGTGGATGAGGGATGAGGGTGCAATAGTGATCGACTCCACATTCCCACTATGTGATTTGTGGTTAAGAATCCTCGGGTGCCAAACAAAAAAGTTTGACAAGCCTCATGAAATCTATTAGATGGTGTTCTTGGCTTGGATAAGAGTTGGACGGAAGGATGACTCTTTAAGGAAAGACCCAATTGGACTTTGATTGAGGGGAGGATTGTGGACGGATGAATGACTATTCAAGCAAGATACATGTTGCATACTTTATTCGAAGGAAAGATTGTTGGGGTTACAAGAAGTACAAACAAAGTTCCACATTGATTACAGGAGAATAGTAGAAATGACAATTTTTCTTAGAATTTTAACCCTATGGGAAGAATTTTCCAATCACTCAAATTCTTCAAAATTAGAGAAGGCAAGTAAAATTATTGAAATTCTTTATGGGATCTAGAATGAGGATAAATCTCCAAGTATAAAGTTTCGGGAGTGTTAAAAAATCTCATAAATTATTAGTACATAAATAGATGCGTCCTTTGCCATCTCTCGTGATCACATCACTAGAAAGACACAAGCCAACATGATTTCTACCTAATATGTGAAAGGTATGGTGCTCCGAGTACAATATGATTCATGATGTAGCATCACCCTATAAGGTATATGACCACATGATTCATTCTCGATCAAGGAAAAGGGTGTTCCAATGAAATAACGAGTTCAAATTAAGCACCTTCTTTAATTTTAAAACGTAATTAGCATTTTAGAAACAATTTAATTAAATACCAAACATCATGAGAATTTTGAAGAAAAAAAATATTTTTAGTTTGACTTCAAACAATTTTCACTATTTTGAAAAGTTTTATTAATTAAAGTAACCCTAAACTATCAACCAAAAATATTATTATTAAATTAACCCAGCCGCCACAAATTGAGATGATATAAAATGGGAGCATTTATTTGACCCTCAACTTCAATAATTATAATAAAGAAACAAAAAGACTAATCAAATATCTAAAAAGGGATTATTCCCCTAAAAAAAAAAATCTGCATGGGACTTTGATTTAAATATATTTCAGTATCTTTATTTTCACTAATATTTCATTTTAGTTATTAAACTTTTAAAATATTCATTTTGATACTCGTATTTTTTTTATTATGGTTCATTTTAGTCTCATACTTTTAAAATGTCAATTTTAATTCATATATTTTTGAAAAATGATCATTTTAGTTATTATCCAGTTTTTATTACAATTGAGACATTTTAGTACAAATTATGGATACATTTAAAAAAAAGTACCAGTTGAAATTGTGATAGAAAAAAATTAAGAAAAAATAGAAGGACCAAAATGACCCCTTTTTTAAAATTACAATGACAAATAGTATATAAACCTGGAACTTTTAATTCTTGTTAAATTGGGGATATGTTTTAATAATTATATTATATAATTATTTAAATCAACGTGTCAAATTAGTTGATCAAATATGGTGGGCTATAAGATTTTTTTAGAAGTGAAGTATTTGAATGGATACCCTTTTTTTATGGGTTATAAATCTAATTAATTAAGCCTGATAAAGGATTATTTAGAATGTGTTTACTTAAAAGAAAATCAAATTTTCAATTTTCAATCTTTTTTTTTTGGTTGATGTAAAGAATTTCTCTAACTTTAATTTTGAAATTTATCGTCACCAATTAGTATGATAAAAAATGGGTTAAAATACTATTTTGGTCATTCTACTTTCAATTTTGGTTCATTTTAACCTACTTTCAAAATGTTAATTTTGGTTAATGTATATTAATCATTAGGTCATTTTAGTCTATGTACTTTAAAAATATTTGTTTTGATCCCTGTATTTTAACGCAAATTCTACCCCTAAAGGAAACGCTTTAGTATAAAATCATGATTACATTTTAAAAAAAATATTAAATGTAGTATCGTGTTGAAATTGTGATAGAAAAAAAAGATTAAAAATAAAATAAAAATATCAAAATAGTCACTTTAAAAAAATCCAAAGATCGAAACCAACATTTTGAAAGTACTGAGACTAAGTACAAAGACTAAAATAAACAAAAATCGAAACTACACCGACCAAAATAGTATTTTAATCCTTTAGATTTTAGAGTTGGTATAAATTATTTATGAGTATTTAAAAAAATGGCGCTATAATTTATGAACAATTAATCTAAAATATTCCATCAAAATCTAAAAAGATTATAGTTATTCTTTATTCATTTCTTAATTACACTAATTGTTTAATTATTGTCTACCATATTTAGAATATTTTATTTTAGGGAGTGAATAATGGACAATTTGGCCTTATTAGGAGAGGACTTCATTATTTAATATAATTCATATTAAAAAAAATTCATACTCATCCTCTTGGATTTCTCTCTCAAAATAATTCCCAAACATCTTTTTCAAATTAGAAAAAAATAGAAAATCAATGAAAAGACTAATTTGAAAAATACACATACGTCCCCAAATAATGAATCTAGGTCATCTAAAGATTTGTTAGGCATTTTATATAGCATAAAATAAATACATTATTTCAAATATAGGAGATAGTTTGAATTTTTTTAAAAATAATATAATTCAATCCAACTTAGAATATAAAAATGAAAAAAAGTCACATTTATGCTATAATTGAGAAGAAAAAATGAAAAATTGTACCATTTGATTTTAATATCGGTATGTTCGAATTTTCTAGGCTAATTCACTAAAGTTCGTGTATTAAACGTATTGAATTTATTTGTTTAATGTAATTGCTCTCTTTTTTCTTTTAAAAATTTAATAATAATAGAGGACAAACAGAAAAAATATGTAAAGAACACACATTTTACGTTAAAAAAAAAAGAAAAAGAAAAAAAACCATTGTGGAGTTGGGCCAAGAATTTAGGTCTCACATTTATAACAACTTTATTTTCTGAAAATTTTAAAATTCATATAACTTCTGTATATTACCACAAATATAATGTTGAATGATTCGTGTCTAATAAATCCCTAAACTATTAATTTTTTATTCAATTAAATACGAAATCTAATTTTATGTTCCAATAAAACTATTAATTTTAACAATTTCGAAGATGTTAGAGATCTATTAGGTACAACATGAAAAGTGTAATAACGTATTAGACACTTTTAAACATCTGAAATTTATTAGACACAAAATTAAAAATTCAAAGAAGTATTGGATAGTTTTTTTTAATGTTCATAGGCTTATTATTTACAAACTTGAAAATTTAGACTTGTAATTTCAAAATAATAATAATTGTTGAATGAGAAATTTTGACAAATTACTAAATGTCACATCATAATTTAAAATTATATTTTGGAACCAATCATAAAATTACACATGTCCTAAATTAATTTTAAATCAGCAAATCAAATTGTGCCACGTATCTCTCTTATGGTCGTCCGATGAAATCAATTAATTGGATTAAAACCCATAAAGAGATTGGGCTCTCAAGCCCACGGCGCATTAAAGCCCATGGCCCATACAAGACCCACCAAGCTCTATAAATAGAGTGAGTCACCTCCATTTGAAAAGGAAGAAGAAAAAGATCCAGAAGCATTGGAGATTCAGAGCAGAGTCATTTACAACCGCTTAGAGTGCGGAGCATCCAAAACTAAGAAGACTCGAAGAACTGAAGACTTGAAGACGACGAGACTCCAAGAATTTTGAACCCTCTCTTCGCCAAGCGACCGACCAAAGAACTCAACACGCTGCAAAAGCCGAACAACTTCAACAAGCTGCAAAGCCGAAGCACTTCAACACGCTGCAAAACTGAAGTACTTCATCAAGCTGCAGATTTCGTCAAGCGAGCCAAAGACTTCATCAAGCCAACAAACCTCGCCAAGCGTCAAGCTTCACAGCCGAAGACTTCAAAGATCCTTCGACAAGTAAGAAGCTGAAGACATCAACCATTGATTCAAGAACAAGCTCACGAGCCATTGAATTAAAGTTTACATTTGAGAGAATTAATCAGAGGATTATATATTTGAGATTGTAACACCCACATACATAAATACAAATACAAGTTCATTAATTCGAGTTTTCTCTTCCTTGAATTTCTCGTCGAACAATAATAATAATAATAATAATAATAATAATAATAATAATTTTCAACTACTCAAATATGAAGGGTAGGCTTGTAAAAAAGAACATGAAGGGTAGGAATTTGAATTTAGTTACCGTATTTAAGAAACTAAGAGAAACAATTAATGCTGACTAGTATAGACAGTGTAAAAGTATCAATGAGCTTTTTTTTTTTCTTTTTCCTCCGGTTCCAAATATGTCATAAACATTCAGTAAAATTAACAAAATAACAATTGCATTTGGTTTTTTCAAATATATTACTTAAAAAAATGGAGGTCCAATATTAAAATGATAACTTTATCCAAATAATTTACATTTGTAATATATATGACTACTGATATATATATGCAATATACCTATGATATACTACTAATACGAATGTCTGATATATTTGTACTATATACGTGATATAAATCTGATATACTACTGATATGAGTGTCTGTATAATATGTATGTGATATACATCTAATATACTACTAATATGAGTGTTTGATATATATACTATTGATATACTAATGATACACTACAGATATAAATATTTGATATACTAATGATATAAGTGAAAATATTTACTATAATTGAAAATTGGGTAAATTGCACAAACCTCCCCTAAAGTATGGTGATTTTTGCAACTACACCCTTAAACTTTCAATTGTAAAAATTAAACCTTAAACTTTGATAAGTGAAAAAATTAGACCCTTGAACATTCAGTAGTAAAAAATAAACCCTCCAACTCTTATGGTCGTCCGATGAAATCAATTAATTGGATTAAAACCCATTGAGAAGAAGGATATATTTGCTCCACAATTTCCATTTCGACCGGAATTAAATGACCAAAATCAGTGAATGTTGGGGGAGCATGAGAGAAAGTAGAGATCTGAACGAAGTAAGAGTTTAACATACATAATTTTTAAAGTTTAAGGGTGCAATTTTATCTTTTATGAAAATTTGAGAGTTTATTTTACTACTAAATATTCAAGGGTCTAATTTTTTCACTTATTAAATCTCGAGGGTTTAATTTTTACAATTGAAAGTTTAAGGTTGTAATTGCAACAACTACCATACTTTAGGTTAGTTTGTGCAGTTTACCCTTGAAAATTTAAAAAACACGTGACGTATCTTGAAATACATAAAATATTTCTGCTACTCACTGTAATTTTTTTTATCCATTTAAAAAAAAAAAAAGAAAAGCGCCATCTTACTATTGAAGTTTCACCTTTAGTTTAATTATATGTTCATGTAGGAGTGGTATTTGTGTTTAATAGGTTGATGAACTTTAAAAACGTCTAATAAATTTAAGAACATTCAAGTTGTATCTAATAAGTCACTCAAATATTTAGACATAAAATTACATTTTGCATCTAATAGTACCTTAAATTTTCAAATTTGTGTAATAAGTTCGAGAATTAAAAAAAAATCAATTAGGACAATAATCTATTAAATACAAAAACTTTAAGTTAATGACCTATTTGAAACAAAATAGAAAGTTTATGAACATATTAAACACTTTAAAAAAATTTAGGGACTTATTAGACAATACTTCAAAATTTAAGGACTAAATTGGTAATTCATTATCCCTTCAAACTCCTCTGCTTCAAGTTTTTTTAGTTCTTCCTCTTTATTCATTCTCTATCATTCTCCCTCCTCACTTGAAGCACCTGTGATTTTTAAAGACTTTGATCAATGAATTGACCAAGCCACGAACCTCGGCTTGGAAGGTAGGTTGATCTGATGGACAAGTTGGAACTTACTGAACAAAACAAAAAACACTCTAACGACCAAGTCAGGGAGAGTCCGAACCAAATTTCAGAGAGAAATGTATTGTTCGCATACCTGAAAATGAGGTAAATGGGTTCTATTTATAGGCGAAATATTCGACAATGTCCCCGACAAGACCTCAACAGCTTTTTAAGGTAATCGTGAATCGCAACATGTTATCATTGAGTCTGTTGGAGACTAGCGTAGAGCCGAAGTAAAGTTGATCGGTTTGACCAATAAATGAGAATGAAATCTCAAGGAAACTTGGTCGGCTCGGTCATTCTGTCCATCGGTCATAAGTAATAGGACCAAGGTAAAAAAATGAGCTTTATCGATCAAGGCCACGTGTGACTTTTATTGTCCAATCAAGATGTACCACGAGTGAGCTAAAAATCACCTCCAACGAGGTAACACGGTAAGTACTTCTTTCATCTCTTCTTTAGATCCTTCTTCTCCCACACTCTTTACTTTTCTCGTATCTTTTATAATCCTTCCTCTCCCTCCGTGCACGTTTCTCGCTCTTGCTCCGCTGTTTTTTTTTCACTATTTCCAACATTTTGCTTCTTTTTTTTTTCACTCTCTAATTCTCATCTCTTTTGTTTTTATTATCCAGGAGTCGAGGACTCTTTGATCTTTTTGTCCCTATACTTGGAGTATGCTTACTGTCTTCATTTTCTTTTCATTCTCTATGTTTCTTGCTCCAGCTTCGTTTTTGTTCTCGTTCTTTGCTTTTCGATTGGTTGAGCTTCTCACTTCTAGATGTCGCTTTTTTTTCCTTTTCCCGTTTCACTCTCTTCTTTCTTTCACTCATTCTCACTTTCTCGTTTTCTTTTTCTCTTCATCTTTGTTTCTTCATCTTTTTTTCTCCTCAGCTCTTTTTAATCTCGTACTCTTTTTTTTTTCCTTTTTTTAATCTCAAAGTACTGCAAAAGTTTGTCTTTTTCCCCTACATCTTGTTAGATCCTCATCAATTATGAAATATGGTTGAAAAGATTAAATAAAATCACTCAACAACATCATATTATATCATCTTATTAAATTTTCATCAAACCCAATAAAAAATTGATTAGAAAAACTTGCTCAAAATTGAGTTAAATCTCATCAAACTATAGCTTGAATTTTTTGGATCATTTGGCCAAAAAAACCCCTACATATTGTTTCTAAATTTGGACAACATACTTGCAACTCAAACAAATTTAACAAAAAGTAAACTTTCACCTCCAATACCAAAACCCCATATCATAAGATTGTGAAAACAAAAAGATAAAAGCCAAGAACACAACTATTTTCCCCCTTTTTTCACACACAAGAGAGTGTTCTTCACAAGCTCTTGTGCCATGGCCGTTACTGAATAAAAAAAAAAGGGCAATGAAAACGCGTCTTCAACCCAACAAAAAACACTCCTTTTCATCACGTACTCGGTGATGGCTCTACCATTTTACAAGCAATCTTCTACCCAATCTATAAAATCTCTTTTCAACCTCTCCTTCTTGCCATTCCCCAAAACACCCTCCATTTTAAATGCATCCATTCGTCGCCGTTGGTGTTGTTTTGGTTCTCGTCGAGCTCTCGTTTCTCGTTCGAGCAGAAGGGTTCGATGGATGGAGGTTTGGAAATAATGCCACTGTACTTGCGCCCTCGCCGTGGTTGAGGAAGAAGGTTTGTTTAAATCACTACTAAACTTAAATGCTAGCGTGGATAGGGCTATGGTAAATTTTAATCTTTTGTTCATGTTGTTTTAAAAGTTTTCCTCGTTTGTGCGTTTGGAAGTTGGGTGCAAAGCCCGACAAGTGATTAACGATAATAATTGGGGAGAAAATAATATTAATCACTTATAGAGATGAAGCAAGTCCTATTTAGATGTTGATATATATACCTCTACTCTAGTACCACTCAAATTTGACCGCCGACTCTTTGATTTTTAGGAAAACAAAAAATTACGGTTCTATGTGGTTTGAGCTTAGTGTCTCTTTTGTTATTCAAATTTTAAAAGAGGTACATTTTTAATCTTTATTGTTTGGAAAATGGTTCTTAAATAGTCTCTGATATGAAACGAGGGAAGAGGAGAGCTCTCCAATCCTGTAATGAAGAGGGAGCTCTCATTCATTTCAATTTGGAAATAGACAAGGTCGACAAAGTTGTTTTCCAGACAATTAACCATGTAAGAAAAGGGGGAAAGAACAAAGAGGGCGGAGTTTCAAGAAGACAGTAGCGTCATCCAGATGGCGGCACGGACAAAGTTCGACAGAGCCAACGATTTAGAACCATTTTTTAAACTTTAGGAATTAAAAGCATAGATTTTGAAAGTTCATGAAAAAAAATGAATATTAAGCCTGTCCAAAAAATTCTCTCATTTCTCAATTTATCTCTTAAAACGTTTAATCGTAGTTGGTACGTGAACACCTAACTATTATTCTTTTAAACAAATTTACTCACTAATACCCTTTTCCTAAATTTTCAAAATCCTAAAGATTTCACCTCTCTCCGATGAACATTTCACAAGGTTATTGAAGAGGATTACAAGAATTGGTTTCCAAAGCATGGTTGTTCCCACAAGAGTTGCCGGAAAGGAGGAGAAGATGGGCGGCCGGAGCGCAAGAAGAAGATGAAGTGCTGCAAAAACCGATGCGTCGACGTCGGCTCCGATGTCAACAACTGCGGTTTCTGCGGCCGACGGTGCTCGTTTCCACGGCAGTGCTGCCGAGGGCTGTGTGTGAACACAAACAAGAGCAAGTTTAACTGTGGAAAATGTGGCCATAAATGTCCTTTCCGCATCCGCTGCATCTATGGCATGTGTGGATATGGCCAGGATCCACGGCGGCCGTCGGAGAGCCGGTGGAAGCCGCCGCATCGGCCCAAGGATCGTCACCGGCTACCGCCGCTGTATCGCCGGAGCAGCTAGCTCTTTTTGCTTAACATGGAACGGTCACCAATACAATTGTTTTGTGGTTATAGTTATGTTATTTGTTTGATTTATGAGTGAATATGATATTAAAAAAAACCATAATATATGTTATTTTTGGATTTGGTCTTGTTGTTTAAATTTTTTTGATTTAGTTGCCCATGTTAAAATTATTAAGCCACCTATACCCTAAACTTTAAATCTTAGGATGGAAATTTAAGTAAATAAATGCACTGAATGGTTATTATATATTTGTTTAATTATTTATTAAAATATTATCATTTAACCATTGATGTAGATATCTCCATTAAATAACCATCAAATTTCAACCGAGAAAGAATATATTTTAAAATATAATAATATATGTAATTGAATAATACTTATTGAGGGTAAATTTAGAAATAAAAAATTTTATTTAAATCTTGAAAATCTAGATTTATAAATATTTAAAAGAATATTTGTGAAATGTAATATGATCTACTAAAACTAATTTTTGTAGTAAAAACAAAGCCCATATGAGATGGCCCATTGGCCCATAACTGAAAACACACAAAACAGGAAGTGAACTAGCCCTAGGTCAATATATGTGTTTTTTTTATTTTTTGAGAAAAGGTATATATATGTTTATTTTTTAGTTATACAAGAAAGTTGATGTAACACCTATAATATCTATTACCCACCTCTATATATATATAGAAATTGATGTGTCACACCATATGGTATTGTCACCTCAACTTTTCATAACTATTCAACAAAATAAAAAAAGAACAGTGTTATATCTAAAATGTATGAAATATAGTAAATGTCGTAAAGACGGTCACATCAAAAACTAAAATAGTTAGATTTATTTATAAATGGTAAATAAAAATGGGACATAGATTTTTTTATGCCTTGTGGGCTTAATTAATTGCAATTGTGTCTTTCATCATCTATTAATTTTTTATTTTCATATCTATCTATAACTTAAAATTTTTAGGTTAAAAATGGTATTTAATAAGGTTTTTAAACTTTCAATATTGTCTATCTAATAGGGTTGTGCAAGAGTTTGCATGCGTCAAATTGAGTCAAGCTCGAACTCGGCGCTCGCTCTGACCTGAAGCTCTAAGGGAAGACCTGCACAAAAGGGCAAAATCTCCCACGTTCAAGTCAATAAACAGTTCAGACTCAATATTAAGTTCAGGAGAAATTCAATACTTGATGGTGAAATGAGGCCCTGTATTTATAGGTTTAGACTCTGATACGGTTTACGACAGGCGGTTACCTTGGTTGGATTAGAGGTCGGACGTGTCGGGTTCGAGCAGATCGAACTCGGACACGTTCCCTGCAATAGTAAGTTAATCCTTGGAGGAAATGATGAAGAATGATGAAATCTCTCACCTCGGAGGGTTCCGAGATAGACTTCCATAATATGTTCCTTTAGTTCTTTTTCCCAATAGCGAATCGTTGTCCTCCACGTGGCAGTTAGGTTTTCCTTCCTAAAAAATAATAATTTTTTTTTAGTACAAACATAATAAGTTCTTAAAACTTTAAAATGTGTCTTTAATTAATACGTCCATCAACATTCAATTATAAATTTTAAGTTCTTAAATTTTCAATTTTGTGTGTGATAGATCTTTGACTAATTAGACTACTTTTTAAAGTTTGATGAATTATTAGACAAATTGAAAATTCGAAAACTTATCAACTCAGACTTATTAGACACGACATTAACAATTTAGAAATCTATTACACACTATTTAAAGTACAAGATAGATAAAAGCCTCAAAACTTAGGGACCAAATTTGTAAATTAACCAAAATATTTTATAGTAAAGACTTTTAAGTTAGAAGATAGACCCTAATTTAATTTGTTGAACCTTGTCTACTACCTTCTTATTTTAAAGTGCCTAATTCTTAAATAAGGTCTCCATAAATTATGCAGCTAGCTATCATATTTAGTTTTTTTTTTTTTTACATTATATTTTGTAAATTTTAATTAATTATAATTACTAACTATCTCTATTTAAATATAATTTCTTTAGGTACATTGGATATCACTTTGAAATTCAAAATTTTATATATATATTTTAAATTCGAAATCTCCACCCCTTATGATTTGCCTATTTCATAAATCATATCCAATTTTGTAAATATTGGTATTTAAAAAATAATTTTAACACCAGTGGATATTTAAAAAGAGGTGAAGTATTTATTTGTTTTTAAATATTTGTTATAAATTTTTTATTTTTATAATTTTTCTAGAAATATCAATAAACATCAAAATTTAATTGACCAACTCGGCAGCTTAGACCAGGACAATCGATAAATGCACATAACATGCACAAAAAAAAAAAGGCTCCAACGTTCAAGTTAGTCACAATTTAATAATCTATTACTCAGAGAGAATAGTTTCATATACCTCAAAAGTTGAATCAGAACTCTCTACTTAATTATAACCTTTATCATTGTTTGTGGGAGGTTACAAAACATCATAATTTCTATATTTCTGAAATCAAATGAATATTTGAATTCATTAAAGAAAAAGTTTGATTTAAAATTATTGGAGCCAAAAAAAGGAAAGAAATAAACAACCAATAAAGAATTCCCACGACAATTCCTCAATAGTCAACAAAACTGCGCATTGACCCACCGAATCAGCCCCTCTGAGATCACCAAAATTAGTTAGTGGTCCAATGAAAAGGCGCCACGTGAACGGATCCGACATTTTTGTTTATATTAAAATTAGAAAAATAAATAATACGAAGAAAAATTCGACCGGTCGATCGATCTCGTGGCATCCCACGTGGTGGCTTTTTATTGGGCGCTCAACCAGCTGTCTAATTGCGTATTATAATTTATAATTTTATATTAGTTCTTGCTTTACATGAAATTTTCTATTGTAAACCAACATGCCCATGTGGAAGTCCATGGTTTAAAGCATCATTAAAATTAATCACAGCGAATAATGTTATATTATACCATATCATTACTAATTATAAAAAGATTTTGGACATAATTTGCTTTATGATTCTTTGATTCTTTTTAAAATAAATTATTTAGGTTTTCTTTTTTCCTTTTTTTTTACAAGTTTTATTTTAAATAATGGAAAATTAGTGTAATAAAACTATAGTATTACTCATTACTCATACCCACCATTTTTATTTTATTTTTCTAGAATGTTAATAAACTTCAACATATGATGGATCATCCATCAGTTCTATTCAAATAAATATTATAAATTTAATCTGTGAACTTGTATTAATCTCAGAAATTGAATACTATTTTAATTATATCTCTAAGTTTTTCAAACAATGTTGTTTAAATCTAGTGAGATGAGTTGATTGGACGAATGAGTGATAATTTGACACAATATAACTGTAGTATAAGAAGACAGACTAGCGGAATAATAAAATAAAGACCAACCAGTAATAAAAATAAATTGAGGAGAAATTGCATTAATCACACTTATCAATTTTAGAAAATAAAATATTAATGTTAAAATTGATTTGATGCAAATTGAATCAACCACCCACCCAAAATTGATAGTTTGTTTGTTGGTGTATTTTGTTGATTTTTAGTCTATTTTGGTTTTAACGGTCTTTTTTTTCTTTTTTTTTTCCCTCACTAAAATTGATATGTTCGTTTGACATCGGTTTTGGTCAAAAAATTTGTTAGAAATCGAACCACTCACACCATAGTTAAAAAATAAATCCCTACTCGAAGTTATGTACTAATTAATATTGTAGTTATTACGTTTAGGATAATACTTTTAAAGTTACTATAATTTTCGAATTTGAGCTAAATTATAATAATTCTATAGTTGGAAGGTTTGATTATATCAAATTTTATAGTTTAGGAGTTGTTTGTGTAATTTCCAATAATGTATGGCTAATAGAGTTATAAAGGTTAGATTTAATGAAATAATTTTGCATGTTCAAAAATAATTAATCAAATTAAAAATTCATGTGTAAATCTACACAGAAATAGAAATTAAATGAGGGCGTATTAATTCGATTGGATATTATAATAATTTAGGAGACTTCAACAATAAACAATTATGAAAAGAAAAAAGAAACCAATTAAATAACACCACGTGTCGTTCATTCCTTGGCTGTGCTCCTTGTTCACTCGTCTCCCAGCTTTAGGCCACTCACCCTCTTTTTTGTATCCCAAACAAAATTAAAAAAAAAACCCCAAAGCCAGAAGGGTTCTTCTAATGTCACAGTTTCTTCATTCTTCTCTTCAATCAAGCTTCAAGAATTCCCACAGAACCAACCAAAA